ACAGTCCTTTCCTTAGGGCTAAGGATTCCTGGAACTCTTCTTCTTGCTCATTGATGTATTTTGTGGTTGAGATTGGGTGGATAAGAGAGTAAAAGCCATTTATTTAAATGGGGTCAAAGCATGGCTATAATAGCAATGAACTGTTATAGTCACAGCAGGCTTTTTTCCAACTCCATACATTTCTRTTCATCAGCTAAGAAAACACAAAAGCAAACCAGAAATTTCTGGAATTTTTCTTTCCTGCCTCTGATGGTAACATTGGGCCAGTCCCCTCCATCCCCACAGTTTCACTTCCYTTTCTGTTCAAACAAGGACAAAAAAAGATTTTCCTCACAAAGAGAAATTAAGGCATCACTTGTAAAGGTTTTGGAAGAAACTTTATATTAGAGAAGGGAAAAAATTGATTATCAGCAAATAGGGCTTCAGGCCATCTCCATATACAGAAGAGTTTWTCAGAGTCTTGCCTCTTAAGAAGTACTTCCAAGATATTTATCCCCTTGCTGTTGGCAAGATGTTCAGAGATTCTTGAAGAATGTGAATTGAAATAATTAAAACATAACATAAAATGTGAATTGAAAGAATTATTCTTATTATCACTTTGGACTTTTCCTTAATGAAGTAATCTAAGATATATTTAGACACCAGGACTAAAAAAAGAAACTCTATATGAAGTATTTAATATCTGGTGACCAATTGACTTTACAGGGAAAGATCTTTTCATCACTTGACTTCCAAAGAAAGGACAAGATAAACACAAAGGATTTTCCTTCAAGAACATATTTTATGGGTAGGTTTCTATCTTTCTTTTTCTGAYCTTCTGCAATTACCAAACAATAATGTAACTACCTAGGAACAGAAYATGTAGCTTTTACATGGAAACACAGTGAAGAGGAATTCTCATGAACCATTTTCATGAGTGTAAGCAACAGGCATAAAACTGTACATTTTTTTAATCAAAGATGAAGGAAGCTTTTATMAAATTAAATTATTGCTTCAGTTCCATCTTTTTATTCTTAATAGTGTCAGCTGGATTCAAAGATGTCTTCAGAACTGAATCCAGAAAAGATTATTAGTTATCTCTAAAATGTAAGGAACACCGGAAGGCAAATGTAATCCCACTCAAAATCCATGGGAACCTAATAAACAGCAGCAATATTTAACTGGCATGTCCAAGCTCAGAGACAGGATCATTCCATTTGTTAGTCTTTAGTCTCATTCCTTCATCRTGCTTTAGTGCAAGACATTGGATGTAGCAAAAAATTGTCAAATATCACAGAAATCAAAAAGGTGAATTAATTAACTGAAACGAGAATGTTCCCATTCAGTGRCAGAAGTTCTTATTTCCACACAGGCCAGAAACATGTAGCTCACAGATAAAACACTCCCCAACAAATATCAGATGSTCTACAACTCCCTGAATGCTGGAAAAAATCTAATTGGAGTATTACATCCATGTTRTTGATGATATAAGTGTACATAGGTTAGACAGATAAGCAGACATGGCACTAGAAAGGAATACTGCTGCCAACAGCACTTGTTTGCTGATTTAATTAGAAKTTTAGACAAAGTATTATTATATGACATTTGCAAGAGTTGTTGAAGATGATAAGAAATTCATAAAATTTGCTTCTCCTAAACAGCCCAGATCCAATRATTATAGAAACAGATAATATCCACATCCACAAACTCTTTGTATTTCTTAGTTAAAAATCTTATGCCATTAGTCAGAAATTCTCATTGCCTCTTAAGCATTTTTATTTTTACTGACTCGTCCTTCKCYAGAGCTGTAGACAAGTGTTTAGAAYATGGAAAYWACCTCTGTAGGTGACATAACCTTGTTGATTTTTCCCAGAATCTTAAGAATGGCTGTAGGCACGTCACAAGTCTCACTACTGCACTGCCTTTTTCCTAASAGGGACTTACRGCAGCYACTCTTGGAAAGAAAATAAAACCCRGGACAAATATTAAATTGTCTTCTGCCTACAAAGCGGTTCCCTGCAGCTAAAGCCAAGCTGAACAGGATGGTAGGGGAATGAACTGGAAACATCCAAGATGTGGGATTGCAGTCCACAGCAGTACTGAGGGGCAGAGGATGGGCGAGGTCACCTTGACCCCAGGAACAGCTTTATGCAACATTTCAATCCCAACTGCAACCTCAACATAGGCTTTGACAGAAAAGTTAGTTTTTGAATACAAAGTGGAAAAAGGAGTTTCACRCAGGAGCGAAGGACAGTGAGTTCCAATATTAACTGAAGAGAGATGYCTGTCAAAAATTCTAGACAAAAAAAAAGAAACTGGGACAGTCATCACACATAGATGTCTCTTAGTCAGACAGGAAAATTCCTACTGCAGTACACCTATTGTCAGTTCTCCTGTATTTTTCTAATTGAAGTTAGGGTAGGACATTCCCCATCATTTTTCAAATCCAAATGAGAACGGAGCAAAATATTTCACAAGTGAAAACTATACTACCTGCACAGTCACAATTTGTGCTGAAAACAGAGCAGGGACTTGATCTGTACGCTTTGCAAAAAGCATTGTTTAGAAGTTATTTTAAAAGTCAAGGTACTCCTAGATTAAAATTGTAACTCTTCCATCCTAAGGTGCTAAATCGAGAGGGAAACGGTGGTATCTCTGCAAAAATTACTGCAACAACCTGATTTTCTAAAGGCATTAATTCTGATTTGAGAACCACACAGAAAATTGCTTTCACATCCCTGGTATGAAAACTTTGCCCTACTGAACATTCATCACCATAAATCATCTGGTTAGGGTAAATCTTTTAGAAACCATGAATGGTRTTGCAGGACCAATTGACTAGACTTGCCATAAGACACTCGAGAGATAATTGAGATGTCAAGGCTCATCAATATCAACATACTTCAAGGAAGGACAAGAGGAGAGGGGAGGAATGACAATGAATGATACCATTATGTGATGACAGCTAAYCCTCAGCTTAGAAACAGATATATCAGTCACAAATATGCATGTCTTTGGATTTCATGGAAGTCTGGACATATATGCARCCTTAATTCCTTAAAAAGTTTCTTTCCATGAGAAGTAATGACAGAGTTGTAGACTTTTTTTTTTTTCTGTTTTAACTTTCAAGATTTAACCTTTTTTCCCCTCCTCTAACTTAACATATAGGAGATAAAATAACTTTGGGCAGCACACAGGAAACATCAGTCAATTATTTAAAAAAAAAAATTAAAATTAAACTATTTTTTCCTGACCAGGCAGAGGAAGCAAAGCATCAAAGGAGGCTTCTGCCAATTTTCAGTGCTATGAATTTGYTCCCTGTGTCATTCTCAGTTACTGGTTGTGTATCTCCCCCTAATCAATACACAATCCATGTTACTCTCTCATCCAAGGTCTTGCATCGTAATTACTGTCCACTCACTTTGAAAACTGACATTGATCACAATCCCAATTCCTTCTTGTCTTCCTTTTTTCCCATTTGCCACCCCACTCCGCTCCTCCTTGTGATATCCACCCCTCACAAAGTAGCACCTCACTCTCTCCATCTGCTTCTTMAACCATCTGCTCATTCCATCCTTCCCCTCTTGCTGGAAAACTCCACGGTCTCTCCCATGCAGCTCCACAGTCTCCTCAAAGCATCACTAAAACCCTTTTCCTTTTCTGTTCAAAAATAGTAACTACAGTCAGCTYTCTGCTTCAGGCCTCAATGGAGGGGATGGTGCAAAACAAATATGCCTGAGTTCAGTAATCCACTCCTCCTCTTCATTTCATCCAAAACTCCATGGCCAAACTGATCTTTCCTTGATGGGATGTTCTGGCCATTTCATTCCACTTCAAAAATCAATTAGCCATCTACACACCACAGGATTTTCAGATGCCCCATCTTCAGGTCCATTCCCCTGAGTAACTCTCTCATTTTGCCTGGCCCCTGGTGCCATCCTCTGCCATTTCTGCTTGGTTTGCTTTGATCTCGTCCCACAAGCATTTCTGTGCCTTCTCCTACTCAGGCACTCTCTGCCTGCAATCAGCTCTTGAAGCTCATTATTACTCCATTTCCCTCTTGCTCACCCTCTCTGTTCTACTCTGTCAAAGACTGTCATCTCTTCCACACACAAAACTAGAGAATCCTTCAATTCTGAAAGAGAGGAAAAATATTACATTTAAATACCATCAAAATTTCCAAGCCAGTGCTTTTCTTCTTTTTAAAACACCTGGCTTTCTACCATGTATTTAATTTCCCTGCTTTGCTTCCTTTCACAATCCTTCACCTCCCAGTACTCACATTATACATTCCTTTGTGCCTAATCACTTCCTGCTCATCCCTTTGGTTTATATCTTTTCTCTCCTGTTTTGCAGTGAACATGGCAGGTTACTACCAGATTCTTTTCTGCCTGAGAACAGCCTACCTCATTCCGGATGACAAACAAAGAATATGGTAATTAAAATTCAGGAAGGCAAAATCAGAGAGATGGCACTGACATTTTTCCCCACCCCACTCCCTCTTCCCCACTCTCATCAGCTACTGACATTTGAAAAATTTCAACCAACTCTAATAAACAACACAAATTTGTCCCAGTTTCCTAAGAAAGCAAAGCTTGTATGATCACACCCCTGCCAAGTAGCTCCATCCTAACCCCTTTTAYACTCTGTAAGTCAGATTCAAACAAATAATGCAAAGGCAGCGACGAACCAGAGGTTAACTTTGCTGAAACAAAGAGAAATCCAAATTAGCATCTTCATTAACTGTGGGATGCTGCAGCCAGCTGGCTTGACCAGCAGAGTAGTTTGGGGCACCCAGCAGAACATATCTCCCTTAGTTTCCCTGCTTATAGTGAAAATATCAGAGGTTTATTCTTTAATTATTTCACCTAACACCAAGCCATTGCCTATTTCACCTTTTCCAGATCCCCTTCCAGGTTCAGATTATTATTAAGAACACAACTCTGATGCACTAATTTCTATAACACAGATGAAGCATTCTTGTCTACCCCCAACCAGAAAAGGAAAAATATGSTCTCTACCTTTTCTGAATTATACTGGGATTTGCAGTCACCAGCTGGGTTTTGGATCCAACATCCTTGCTGTATTCACTGGATAGAGGAGGAAGGTTGCACCTGCACACAAAGACAGTSAAGATTTTAAATGACATTCAGGACTGACACTCTTCAGAAAATRTAAAAATGTTGTATTGCAGGCTACAATTGTTCCCTACTGCACCACTCCTAAAAGCATTTTTGTACCAGATCGTGGGGAAATAGAGAAATAAAACCTTTTGCAGCGATGAGATCTGTGTAGCTGCTAAGCAAAAACAAAGGCATACACTTGGCATTTCTGACAGGCTGAAAGGCTGTGGAAGAGGCTGTTGTTATCTATAGAATTTTTTTTTTTTTTTTTCTAAATCCAAACTCTTTTAAAGTTCTGGTTTTCAGTTTTCTCTTGTTGACCAGTATCAGCCTCCAGACTGTTAATATCACTCCATGGTATTACCAGCATYGCAAGTGGCATTTTTAATATTACACTGTGGGGTACTATCATCTTACAGAATTTACCAAGAAAACACAGAGGAAAAAGAATTAAGTGGCTTTTTAAGTATGTGTATTTCAGCTCTACTCACAATCTTGTTCTGGTGGGTAGGATGATAATGGAATAAAGCCAAAACAATTGAGCAAATTTACTTTGGGAAGCAGAGAACAAAAAAAAAACAAAAGTAGAGGGAAAAAACCACACAGTGAATAGTCCAAAATGCTCCCTTGTAAAGACTTAGGAGAAAGAGGAAGATGCAGGAGATAAAGACAAAGATACATTCAAACAGTATCCAAGCCTATGCACTGCCCCAAAAATTAGGAGAAATCTAYTCAATACAAAAAAATCACATTAAAAACTGGTTTCCAAACATTTTTTATTTCAAATTTCTCCTTTAAAAAAAAAGACATGAACAGTATTTCAAATGCTTAAAAGGCAAAAATGAATCCATGATTCTCAGAGACAAGTAGTATTTGGAATTTTTTTCAGAGAGAGTCTTTTAGTTGTTATGTTGTTGGGGTTTGGGTTTTTCTCACTACAGTTTTTGTTA